TGTGAGCCAGACCAGGGGCTGCACCTAGGGATTGGGCCTGCCCTCTGCCACCCAGGAGCAGGCCTAAGCCAGCAGGTCGTTATCTCCCAAGGGGTCCCAGACTGCGAGAGGGCACAGGCCCGCTGAGGGACACCCCCTCCCCCCCGAGTGCACAAATATTTGTGCACCAGGCCTCTGGTATTTAATAAAAGCCATCTCCACCATCCCCAGTAACTCCCTTGCATGAGAGTCTAATTTGCTAATTAGACTGATGATACCTGTCTTCACTGTACATTTTGGATAATTAGATGTTGCAACTGAACTACTAAGAGAGAATGGACCCCTCAAAAGGGCAGTCAGTTAGGTCATTATTTTGAGTCAAAGCAACCAAATTATAATTACCAGGAATTACAAACTAGAGGAAATTATCTGAACATTTAGTGTGCTCAATTTGGGGTCAAACCCCTTGTGTTTAGCAAATTCACACCATACAATTCTATTAGTACATTAAAATAGGCTTTGGTAAAAGGAAAATACACACAATCAAAAAGTTTACATAGAGGGAAAGGAACATGTGGAGATAGTCCCCACTGAGTTCCAGAGACTTTCCCAAGAAACTAAAAAGTGTGAAAGTCTAAATCCAAAGTTGGGACAACCACTCCCAGGTGACCTAAGCCCTTTGATTCTCACTGTAGGACACCTGGGAAGCGACTATCATCTAGAGCAGTGGTTCTCAACCTGTGGGTCACGACCCCTTTGGGGGTCGAATAACCCTTTCAAGGGGTCGTCTAAGACCATCGGAAAACACGTATATAATTACATATTGTTTTTGTGATTAATCACTATGCTTTAATAATGTTCAATTTGTAACAATGAAATTGGGGGTCACCACAACATGAGGAACTGTATTAAAGGGTCGCGACATTATGAAGGTTGAGAATCACTGATCTATGCTATTATAAATGGTAAGAGTTATTTTTTTTTACAGCTGCCTAGTATTCCATTGCATAGATGTATTCACTTGCACATTCTCTCTCTCTGTCTCTCTCTCTGTCTCTCTCTCTGCCTCTCTCTCTCTCCCCCTCTCCCCCAATCAATAAATTTAAATAAAAGAACATGAGGCTTACAGAAAGAACTACTTTAATGCACTCAACAAATGTTCATGATCTATTTCCAATCCCCAATGACTGTTGGGACACTGTTTCCAGGAGACAATGCATTCTGTGATCTAAACAACTGACAGACAAATAAAGCTATAGAATGACACTTGTACCACTAATCCTGTACATTGGTGATACAGAAGGATTTCTGTGCCTGAATAAATTACAGTAATGAGATTATAAAGGTTTCTTAAACACTTATGACCGTGGGAAGTCCTGGCAGAACTCAGTGCGTATAAGACTGGCACACATAGAGCTCTTGACCACTTACCACTCAGTCACTGGCTTTGATTGACCACCTGGATGGTGAGTGTCTGTTTTATTTCCCTAACAAGATAGCCAAGCTGCAGTGTTAGTCACAGGTGGCGCTGGGTTGCATAGCCCTTTGGAATCTCTCTTTGCAGCATACACAGAGGGAAAGCAGGGAGAAGGAACCAAAGGGGCAGTAGGCCCTCTGCTCAGCACACATTTCAAAGCAGAGAGAGAGAGAAGGTGGAGCCAACCTGTTGGTTGAAATATGGCAATATTACTATAAAGCCATATGTGTTTGTTTATTGATGGTCAAAACCTTTTTAAAAAAAAATAAATAGAAGCTGGTGGTTACCAAAATTTCACCAAAAAAAAATAGAAACATCATTATTTTTCATTTCTCAGGCTCAGTATTCTCAAAGGTACTTCTGATGCTAGAAATGCTACTTTTCTTCTTAAGTACAAGTGACTTACTGAGGTCTCCACTTAGTGACTTAATAAATGTTTGTTGAATGAGTACTGTCAGGTATTTAACCAAAGCTTGATTCTCCACCACACTGTAAGAGGGAATGAAAAACACCACTATTCTCTATATTTTGTAGGTGAGGAAATTCAGGCTCAGAGAGTCTGCATGACTACTCATACATTTCACTGTCACAGACCTGCCCCCCCGCTCCCAACCCCCCAGGTCTGTTCTGACTCCAAATCCTGTCACCTTTGCTTTTTATAATCTGACCTCCATATCTTTGTTCATTACAGGAAAGAGGAAATAGAGAGAACATATTTTGAGCTAAAACACTCTTGTAAAAGGTTCCACTAGTATTCTTTTATAGTAAAAATGAAAAAGCTAAATTTTTTTTTTCACTTGACCCATTTGTAAAACAGTTTATAGGGCAGTCAAAAAAAATGGAATGGGTTTTTTAAAAAAACTCTACTACATTAATACTAAAAGGAAGCAATAAAAATAAAAATAAACCCTTAGGTACAGAGAAACTCCAATGCAGAGTACTTCTGACATCTGTTAAACTGGGTAGTAGGGAAGGGATCATACATCCCTACATGAATTCCTGTTGCTACAAATCATAGGGAGACTTAGTAATAATATGCTTTTGATTGCGGACATGCAGAGAAAGTTTGCAAGTGAAAACTAAAGAAGATACTGCACTAAGGTTCTGTTTCAGGGAACATTAGACTATACTTTTCAGGAACTCCAATGAAGCCCTCCTAATGTCTTAGAAAGGGGAAGGTGAATGCAGAGGCTGTCAACTATATGAGTTCATATCCCACAAAAAGCCACCAAATGCACTTACTTGGCACAAAAAGAACTGAGAGATTGATGCATTTTATCACAGCCAGTGGGAAATGTTTGATTCTATAAATAAGTTATCAGAGACGATTTTGTTTTTAATCAGGCAAAAAGAAAAACACAAAAAAACACAACCTTTCCAAATTTTTGTTTTCTAATCTTAAATAGCTAAGTTAAAAAATCATTGTTGTTGATAGCATCTGCTCTTGCCTCTCTATATCTAATATTCACAGAAAGTCAGCACTTTTTCACTTCAAATCAGCAGCCAGATGCCGGTCTTACTTACCAATTTGCTATTACCTTGAGGGCAGAGGGGACAAAGCTGTTAGGGTCTTGTTAATTCAAGAGATATATTTCCTTTTTGTTGTATTACATGCATTATTTTCAACACAGAGAATACTAGGCCACGAGCCCATAAGCTGCAATGTTCATTTGACTTTACTAAGCAGGCAGGGTTGGGGGTGCCATGCCCTTCTGGGCAGGTGCAGGCCGGGAGTGGCTGGTGGGCCTCTGGCCAGCAGAAACTGCACAGGAGAGCTGTGGTGTGTCCCTGTCTGCTACCGTGTCCAAACCGATGGCAGGGTGTGCAGTTTATGAAGCACTTTGGAAAGTGTAAAGTATGACACCTTCTCAGCATAACATCTTAGCGCTCCCCCTCCGGATGAGGAGAGGAGAAAAATGGACGCAAGCTTTGATTCCTCATTCACATGCCCTCCATGCACAGACACCTGTAATGCGGCTGCAACTGACATTCTGTGTCCTCTCTGTGCATTCTCCACTTCCTCCCTAGAACACTTGAAGGAGAAGTTAGAGGAGTACATGGCCCGGTTTTCCAAAGTGAGGATCGTTCGCACCAAGAAAAGGGAAGGGCTCATCCGGACCCGCCTCCTGGGGGCATCCATGGCCAGAGGAGAAGTCCTGACCTTCCTGGACTCCCACTGCGAGGTCAACGTGAACTGGCTGCCCCCGCTCCTGAGTGAGTACACAGCTGATGGGGCCTCCTGGCATCTTTCAGAAGGAGTGCGGGGTTTGCTTCCACCTAGTTTGCAACCTACAAAGGCTAAAGACCCCCCTCCCGCAATTTTTACAGTGGGAGCCTTGAATTCTACCTTAACCCCTGCTGAGGACAAATGGGTAACTAGAAAACTGCATTAAAATTGCCATTTTGGAGAATGTCATCTGTAATCTATCGTATGGTTTGAAAGGTTTTCACTTATCTTAGACATGCTCTTTGATTGTAGTTGTGTTCACTGGGTAAATGCTAAAAGAAAAAAGTATTCAAAAATACTATCTATGACAACAGTACGATTAAAATTCACACATATACCTCGCCTACACATGCACAGTTTAACAATTAGTACAGGATTATTAAGAGATGAGGAAAGAAAATTATTCAGTCCCTGAATACAGTTGAATTATAAGCTCCCTGGCATTGTCTAGGGTTTATAATGCCAGTTCTTTTCACTTTGGCACTAACCTAGATCCCTAAATAGAGAATCCATGTTTAAGCAGAACCCCCTCAAACACTCAGGGTTGGGATCCAAATGACACGTCTAACTGCTCCTAATATGATTACAAGGAGGGAAAAGGCTCTCTGTGACATTGCACTCAAAAGGTTAGAAACTGGAAGCCATTCAAGTTCAAGGTAGAAAACCAATGTGTGGCTCAGTGTGAGCTTGACTATTTTTTTTAATGTCACAATGAAGTCAGATATAAAATCTAGTCGTGGGTAAGGGACAAATTGTAAGCTTGAAAAAAAAAGTGTGTTTCCAAAAGTTCCTGCTGGGTGCATATTGTACTCCTTCCTATTGTTCAAGATTTCACTAATTCAATTTTTACTGTGAATAATCTCTGGCTTTGGAGCTAAAGCCAGTAACAACTGCCTTCACAATAGCTGCCTTAGAGGGAATGATTTGCTATTGGCTACTGTGTAGGATTTCAGCTAGAACCAGCAAAGAGCCATTAGTAAAAGACAAGGCGGGGGCGGAGAGGATCGATCGATCTATATAGGATTAAGAGCAGAAAAGGTCCATCAACTAACAAACACCCAACCACATTGCCCAATCCACACACTCCTGCACAGGTGACTGCCCAGCCATCCTAATCAACAGGAATGTTTCAGTGCTCCTGCAGCTACAGACTCCTCTGAGCTTTTAATTAAAAATACTTTGTCCAAGGACATAGCAATTTAGAGTTTCATCAGCAACAGTGAGATTCCCTCAAACGGAATTTGATCTATATGGTGTGGAATACCCAGGGAAGTCAGCAAAAGGCCTAATTTATTTATGAACCACAGCCCTTCCTAAATGCCAATTATCAAGCCTCTGAACGTTCGTATGAACCTAACAAGAAAGAAAATAGATGGAAAAAAGAGAGAGAAAAAAGAGAAACCCACTTTTTCTCATTAAAGCATTTCATTTCCTGTGGGCCTGATGGATAAGAAATGATTCAAGCTCAGGATCACTATCTTTTTTTATTTTCCTTTATCAGTGTCTTGACACATCATCCAAAATGAAAAAACAGGCGGAGTCACACAGATTCTTGGCTCATTTGTCACCTTGGGATTATACCTGAATTTCAATTTCCCATTAAGAGTCTGTTTTGTTTGATCCCTGGAAATTGAAATGTAGGCATAAGTCTTAGATGAAAAATTAGTCATGCTGCTTTCACTCTAAGCGAGTATGGCTGGATGAGAGCTGAAAGGAAATTTGAAGGGAGAGTTGACAGTTAATTTAACAGAGTCATTCTCTTTGGGTCACCTTGGGACTCCTTGTTGGTCAAGGAACTTGTAAATCAGCCAGATTCTGAATTTGATTGAAGAAAGCCACTGAAACCTTCATACGAAATACCTGCAGGGGTGATAGGAGAAATATGTTGGACACAGTAGTGACAGTCTCCTCTGTCAACGACATCTATGGGGAAACACCATTTAGATAAAGATTAGAATCCATTATGAGGCTTGCCCAGGTGAAAAGGGATGCTTATAGAGCCCTTAGTGGAGATTAACTTGATATTAGTGCTGGGGGGGTCTCTCTGTCTTCTAATTAGCTAAAAATAAAAATAAGAACTCCAGGCTCACTAAGACCAACATTCCACATTCCCCTTACCCTGTTTTTTTTCTTTCCATCACATTGATCACCTTCTAACATACAATATAAGTTATTTATTTATTATGTGTATTGATTTCTTTATTCCATTCCTGAAGACATGGGTTTTTGAGATTGTTATTCACTGCTATATTCCAACATCCTAAAAGAGTGACTGGGACAAAATTTCTATTCAGCCAGTAATTGTTGAACTTGAGTGAATAAACAAACAAATGAGTGAATGAAAAAGCATGTAGCTCTGGATGGGAGATCTTTCAATGGATTCTGTGGTTTCCACACCCTGGCTTATAGGTGTCATCACAATAATGTTACTGAAATAACCAACCCTCATTATATCTAAACAATATGATTTTTTAAAGCATATTTTATTCCACATGCCACATTGGGTATTCTGAATAATCATTGAACAGATGGTCATACTTTAAAGTTCTGCCTATCGGATAGTATTAGCTTGGTATAATAAATCTTGACTAAATGCACATTCTTTGGAAAGAAATACTTCACATGTAGCTATTCTAGGTGAGAAAAGCATGTAAATGCCAGCTATCTGCATCGACTATTAATATCTCACAATAATAATATCTCCATGGAAAAGAAAGGCGCTGGAAATGGAAACGATAGCACCTTTCTGCTACATGAGAACACGGTGGCCAACAGGAAAGACCACAGGTTTTAGTGTTGGACCACTAGGCAGAAGTTGCATCCCAGTTCTTGTTCTCAAGAGACCAGTGACCTCTGACAAGTTATTTAACTTCTCTGAGCTCAGTTTCCTCATATGTAAATTGGGAATGATAGTAATAGCCACCTTACAGGGTTACCAGGAGGATTAGAAATAGCATGAGCTCAAATCCCTAAGTAGTTGCTCAAGAATATAATAGAATGTAGCAGGAAGCATAGCAGTAGCATCAGGCCATCTAATATATTTTGAGGTATGATGAGAGAAAATAAAAATGGATAGCTTTAATAAACAGAGTCTATATCAAAGAACAGTAGCAAGATAGGACTTGGCAAAATCTCTGTAAGCCTGAGAGCAAAGAATTCTGCTATCAACGTTTAGGGGCAACAGCCCTTAAAACAGCGGTTCTCAACCTGTGGGTCGCGACCCTTTGGGGGTCGAACGACCCTTTCACAGGGGTCGCCTAAGACCATCAGAAAACACATATATAATTACATAATGTTTTTGTGATTAATCACTATGCTTTAATTATGTTCAACTTGTAACAATGAAATTGGGGGTCACCACAACATGAGGAACTGTATTAAAGGGTCGCGGCATTAGGAAGGTTGAGAACCACTGCGTGAGATTAGATACTAAAAAAGCCATGATGTTAAATATTTACATTTTGGAACCTCCGGAAAGCAGGCCAATATTTTCTCGGCAGGCTCTAGCTGTATGCTTGAAGGAACACCAGTGCTGTTTATATTCCACACACGTTAGATGCTCTATGGAATGACAGATTGGGGACAGGTCCGAGCAAAAATGCGACAGAGGTAAAGCTAAATGGACTTCTGCAAGTCTCTCTGGGACATAACTTTCTGAAAAGAAAATACAGCCAACTAATTGTGCCTAATCACTGTCCCATCATGTTAGGTCCAGCATTCAAGCAGAGATTCCGCAAAGTGCTCTAAGGACAACAGGGAACCGGGCTGCCAGCATTATGCATTAGGAGGGATCTGTAGGCTGCTCTTTGCTGAAAACATGATAGATGACCTAGGCAGGCATGTCATTTCCTATTTTGTGCTTTCATTTTTCAGACCAAATTGCACTAAACCACAAAACCATCGTGTGCCCCATGATCGATGTCATTGACCACAATCACTTTGGGTATGAGGCACAAGCTGGGGATGCCATGCGAGGCGCCTTCGACTGGGAAATGTACTACAAAAGAATCCCCATCCCTCCAGAGCTCCAGAGGGCAGATCCCAGCGACCCTTTTGAGTGAGTAGCAGCTGAGGGAGGGGCCCAGGGAGAGAGGGCAGGTAATTCATTCCAGGGTGTCAATGGAGGACCCGTGAGAAAAATGACCTCTAAAAAAATGGGATAACACAGATGGAAACAATATGAAAAACACTGGAGAAAGGTCAGACCTACATGCTGTAGAAAAATCAACATGCTGCGCTAAGTGCACGGATCACTCCTTCCCAACCTTGGCTAAGTGTGCGAGGAGGTGTGCAGATGTGAAAATCAAGGAAATGCAGGGTTCACAGAAGAGGGAACGCATATTCTCCTTTTACATACTCCCGTAGATGTTTTCTTATGTTCAGGTTTCTCTATTCTTTTCACTTTATTATTTAAAATAACTATTTTGCTCTTCTTTTGGGAATAAATGATATGAAATACGAACTAGTATTCAAGCCTGTGTTACACCCTGTTGGGAACTGCCCCTTTATGAGGAAGCAGTGCTCCTGAATGGGTGTCCTCATAACTTATCTCAGGATAATCAACCAAAATGATGTATCCAGATAAATAATCTTTGATAACCCTGCCACTAATTTAGATTCTATATAGATACGAATTTATAATAATCTGTTGATTTCTATAAAGCTAAGTCCTTGTGTGTTTTTAATGTGGATATGAGAATTATCATGTCAAGAAAAAAGAAGAAAATTCTTTTTTCTTGACATGATAAAACAGAGCTTAGTTGGACAAACTGTTAGAACCATAAATGCTAAATGATGAACTTTTTCCAAAGTTAGTCCAGGGATTGCCCAAGGCATATGATTATCTATTCCTTATTACTACACCCTTTTGCTCTCATTAAAATCTTTGTAATTTAAAAACTATTACATATTTTTCTTTAGCGTAAGAAAAAAGTGATCAAGGCTTTGTGCACTCTGTCAGCATCTGCTTCAGATGCAATAAAATCACTATTGTCTTTTCATTAATAATCTGGGCTATGAAAGTTTGCGGTAGAGATGCTCCCGGCATCACTAAAACTAACACTTTAAATTACAATAAACATCAGGAAAACGTTTTCTCCAATTCCAGTCTTTAGAAAGACAAACTGTTGGGAAAGCAGAAGGGATTTCAGAAGACATTTGCTGGATAAAAAGAGATAGAAACCATTTAAAAAAAATAATAGCATGAAGAATACTCATTAAGTATTAAATATTCAAAATTTCTGAACTTAGGCCTCTTCAGACTCTCAAAATGCTAGAGAGGTTTTTAGAAGAAATAGGTAGACCCTTTATCACTCTTCCAAATGCTTTGGCCAAGATTTCAAGGATATGCAAAACTGCTAGAGACATTCTTCAGCGACCTAAGTGGAGGGGTTTCTATTAAGCATTTTAAATGGGCCTGGCAGAGAGATTCCCTTCAGACTTCCTGGCAGACGGGCTGATGGGGGGATTTAAAGCCAGGTTGTGGGTTGGGAGAAGATACAAAAAAATTCTTAAATACAGCGGAGTTGTTATTAGATGGCAGCTGACAGCATAGCCACAGTCCAGTTGTTACTTTCCGAGGCTGTCATGTTTCAAAGGCTGGAATTCATCCATGATAGCTTTTCAAATACTGTAATAGGACTGGGTTAGAATGTCCTTCTAAGGGGACTTTATTTCCACTTAGAAAGACTTTACTCCGACTGTAGTAGCAGAGTGGAGCTCCTGCTCTCTGCAGAAATAAATGGGTTCCAAATACTATCAAGGGGATCTGAAATTGTAAAAGTATTCTCAGCCCCCGCACTGACACTTGAAATGTTTGTCAAGTAGCCATCACAATATCAGCACCTTGTTTAACCCCAGAGGCTGGCAGGCTTGGTCCCTTTCAGGATTAAATTACCTCTTGTTCCTGTCACCTACTTAGGTCCTCATCGTCCTGTCCAAATTGCATTCCTCTTTGAATCCTACTGCCTTTCTGCTTTAAATCCACTTGATGCCTATGAATGTGGACACTTTAGCCTTTTATAATAAATTTAGCTTCCAGGAGGTGTCCACTTTGATGTTAAAAACTGCATTTGCCTTCCCGATTATAAAAGAATGGTTACCCAAAAGGCCAGGAGCAGCGTATCAGCAATTCCATTATCAGCAGTCACCTGAGTGTGCTCATCAACAGACGTGCTTTAGGCTAAAACTTGCTTCCCGGATATAAAGCTTTAAGATCCACAGAAGGAATGCAGTCTATCTGTGTATCACTCTCACAGTATTTAATGTTTCAAGAGGCTGCTTCATGGGTATAGGTGGGAGGAGGGGGAGAGGAGGCGGAAAAGATAGGTAGAAAGGAACTCAAGAGTAATATATAAAAGGGTTGCAAACCCCCGGACTTTTCAACAATATATGTGCAAGCATTACCTTCCTGTAGCAAGTTGGTCAAATGTCCTAAGTGACAAGACTTGAATTGTCTCATTTATTCTGCCATTATTTGAGTTTTTCAGTGACTATCTCTATTGACCACAGTAGTGTTTTTCAACCTGCAATACTTGTGAAAATAGTGGGGCATGAACAGTATTTAATTATTGAAAGTTTCAGAATATTATATAATATGTATGTATAAGTATTACTTCTCAAATATTTGATTTCATTTATAATGTACATATGCTCCTGGGTCGTAATATAAACTGTACTTCGCAATATAGTTCATTAACAGAGTTTAAAATCTACTAACTTCCTAACTAGGAATCAAGGCCTTCATTATTCTAACGAGGAAGAAAAAGGAAAGGTCACAGATAACCTTGGACACGATGGAAAAATTACTTATATTTGCAAAGAGCTCTAGTTTTCAGGCAAACTGTTCCTAGAATATGAGAGAAAATGCAATATTCATAGTTCAAGCTATTATATGGCAGACACAATTCTGATTGGATTGGATACATTTGATAAATGTTCTTTGTCTTTAAAAAATATATTCTCCTTTTTTTGGTGGCATATCTCATGATGTAATGCTTTTAGGAAATGCTTGTTATGGTTATTTGTGGTTTTTAGAAGGTCTCCTTATTCCTGGTTTATCTCTCGTGCAGGGCACTTAGGAATGTAAGCCCTTTCCATGTGGCAAAAAACATTATGCTCCTTTAGTTATGGTGACAAAGGGAAAGATGTTCATTTGCATTCTAACCACTAACTTCAACATTATCTCAGCATCAAAAGTTTAGAAAGGACCAGAAGAAATGACTTTTTCCAACTTCCCTTTAGCCCAAGCAACCACTAAACAATGTCTAAGACAGATGACCAACATTTGCTTGAACTCTTCAGGGACATAATATTTTTGCTGCCTCAAAAGACAATCCATTCTATTAGACTAAATGACAGAAAATTGTTGCCTCCTTGATTGCAGACTGTCTAATTCCTGTTTGATGATAGGGCTGTTAAAATTTAAAAACAGCCTATTCCTCCCAAAAGGGGAAAAAGAGGAACTTTTTCCAGCTCTAGTCCCAGAACCCTATGAAAGAGCATGCTCATTGATGTAACTGTTCAATACATGTAAATTCACTTGACTACTGTAGTCTCATCCATGTTTCCCCAACTTGTTCACAAAGACAGTGTGAAATAGTCCACCCAATATATCCGATACTCAGGCCCTAATACATGAGTCTGTCAACCATAAAAATACAGCTAATTTCTAGGGAATTGCACTAGAGATCATGCTTCCTTTGCTAAGTACTCACAATCAGTTCAGCTGTCCACTTAACTTTGCAGTTTCACTGTATTTTTTAGAACCCACCCCTGTTCTGTCTTTGAAATGTAGAAAAATTACTTTTACTCTGTCAAGCTTCCTCGGACAAATCTCCACAATTCCTCAAAGACTTCTCAGACTTAGAGTTTTGATCATCGTGGATAGAATTAATACACACAATCATTAGTGAGGACTGGCATTCTCTATTTTCTACTTCTGTGTAACACCAATTTCCAAAATTTTAAAAGTAAGGATATCTATGCTTGGGAGGTGAACTTCACAGGCCACAAATGTCCAGAAATCCCAGTGTCTACGGACACATCCGTTTGAATTCAGTAACTTCTCATTGTGGCCAGCTGCCTAGTCCAGAAATATCCTAGGACATGGGTAACAATGTCCATGACCTGTTGTGAGGCACCTGAAGGTTCACACTTCAAAAACCCAAGGTCCCCTGAGGTCTAAGGACCAAATATAGAATCCCTGTGGCCTGATTCTGCAATCCAGGAGTATGAAGCATAGCTCACACTAGTATGGATAACATTCAACCTCTGTTACAGAGGAGTGTGTCACTGTTTCATGGAAGTGGGATGCCTTCAAAAGATTTCCTGACAGTATCTCCCTTTGTTCTTTCAAGCGACAGAGAGCAGAGAGATTCCTGGGAACTTTCTGACTCTCTTTTCTATGCAGCAATATGGCCAACACCATGAGAAAGTCAGTGTCTCTTGTATAACAAATACAATATGCTAAATTTAAGGTTAGAATGGAATTGAATCAGAAAAAAAATGTGCAAATAATCATAAGTTTATCAAGCTATAAACTATAGAGACACTTCAAATTTATACTACAGAGCCTAAGTAACTTATCCAGTGTCCTAATTAATATATTTAACAATTCATACTAGAATCTGGGATTACTCTCTCACCTTCTGGTGCTGCATTCTTTCTTCTACACCATGAGGCGGGGCGGGGGTGATTAAGAGTTGTTATATTTCTACTACTATGAGTCAGGCATGGGGCTAGGAAATGTGCTTATATTGCTGACTCATTTAATCTTTGTCTCAAGTCTGTGAAATAAATAATACTGTCTGCATTTTTACAAATGAGGTAATTTAGGCTCAAAAAGGTTAGGCAATTTTCAAAGTTTATATAGGAAATCTGAAGAAAAACCCAGGCCTAAGGATTCCCACTGTTCCATGGGAATTGCCACCTCTCTTTTTACTCAGAGAAGCTACATCCTCTAAGCTTAAGGAATAACCATGTTCAAATAGAAAAAAAAAATAGAGAATACAATAGTTTTTTCTCAAAGCAGCAACACATAATGGGAAATGAGTATCA